GGGCCACGGAGAGCGGGAAGAGGATGGACTGCCCGGCCCTCCCCCCCGGATGGAAGAAGGAGGAAGTGATCCGAAAATCTGGGCTCAGTGCCGGCAAGAGCGATGTCTACTACTTCAGGTACCGCCCTTGGGGGGGAGGGGGTGACGGGGTGACGGGGTCAGGCTGGGGTCAGGGGTCAAGCGGTGACCCGGGCGGAGGTAGTGCGGGTGAGAACAGGGTGCCCAAGGCAAGTGGCAAAGTCGGGCTTGCATGGTAGTAGAAGGTCCCTGAGCCCTTGGGTCAGAGAGTTGACCCCGGTGCAGTGACAGGCATTGTGTCTGAATGGTGAGAGCCCAGAGCCCGGCATCTTAGGGCGAAGGGGTTGGAGACAATAGTTGGTGAAGAAAGGGTTACTCTGGCAGTCCACTGAAGGGTTAAAAGAAGGTGTAATTCATCGAAACTGTAAAACCCAGTCGGTGTTGGCTCCTTTCCCAGCCGTCCAGACTCATCATCACAAGGGTGTTTAATCACGCACACGTGCAAGAATTAGCCACCTTCAGTAACAAGGTTTCAGTTACTTTCGGGATCCTGGAAAGTTTCATATAAAGTAGCCATTTGGAATGCCTGAAGTTTCTTAGAACTCTCTTTGGTGTTAAAAACTAAACACTGTAAGTTGTTAGAGTCCTAGACCAAAATTAGCCTCCCAGGGGACATTTGGCAATGTCTGGGAACATTTTTGGTTGTCACACCTTGGTCGGGGCAGCAACTGGCATCTAGTGGGTAAAGACCAGTGGTGCGTCTAAATATTCTACAATACACAGGACTGTCCTCATGAGAAAGAATGATCTGGCCCAAAATGTCACCAGTGCCAATGTTGAGAAACCTGGGTCTAAATGATTGAAGCTTTTCAGCTTGATGTGATCTTGCAATCCTGTGGTCACGCTGCTGTCCATGTCATTAGTTTGGATGACCCAGTAAGATCAGGAAAGTGCCTGTGGCTGTTGATACCAGTGGAATTTTCTTATCAACAAATTTACTAACATTTCTTATAAATCATCCCATTTACAGAAGAAAATATAAATGTGTTATTTTCAGTGGCTTGCAGACTGTTTATGGGCTGATTGAATCATTTTCCAGGGAATATATTTGGGTGTTACAACTAGTTGTCAGCCATTTGGCCGTTGAAATAATATTATGAAGGGTTTCCATTCTTCTGACCTCAAGCTGGTTAATACATTACCCCGGGAAAATATATTTATGTGTATGTGAATTGCAAATACTCTTAAGTAGATTTAAAAGGTTAAAGAAATATACACACGTTTATGTGTATATGTATATATACATGCATGCACAAGAATGTGAGCACTACTGGTATAACGTGTAAATATGAGTACTGTATATTTCTGATAGTTGCTCAAAATATGGATGAGTAGTTTCAGTAAATTTATTTCACCTCTTCAAGTAAAATTAAATGAAAGTGGTGTTTTATTAGAGGTTTATTTGAGACCACTTATCTTGAAATCTTAAATGATAAAATGGAAAACTTAAACATGCGAAGATGGTTATCTTGTTTTGTATTTTCCCATCATTAAATATTAAATTTACTTGACTAGTACTGAGAAAGTTATTGTGGAACAAATTGTTACTCCTCTCAAGTTCACTTGTTTCACGTAGTGCTATTCACAATTGTTCCTTTTTGCATATTCTTTCATTAACAGCTCCTACTGTTTCACTAAGCAGGTAGTATGCAGAACCTTCTTTCTGTGAACTTGTCTTGTAACCACAGGTATTTGACAGGAATATCCTGTATCTGAGATTGAAGATGAGGAATAGGAAACTAGTCTATTCTCAGTAGAGCGTATTAAACTATGAATTTCACTCTCTGTGATATTTCTCCTGAGATATGGTTTGTTTGATTTTGAGATGACGTATTTGTTCAAACTAACTTTTGGTTATTGTAAAGCTTTTGTTGTTGTTTTCCTTGCAGTAGCTGGAAAAATTATTTCGAAAAGGTAGATCGCTGTATTCTGACTTGTCACTTAGTATTTTTTGAACATTTTGTAAATTTTTGATGTTTACTTTTTTTATGCAAACAATATTTTATGGTAGAAAGCTGATATAATACATTTAAAACAAACTCCTCAAACATTCATTGAAGACGAATCACAAACCAGTATAGTGATAATTACTCTCTGAAATTAGAGTCTTTTTATGAGGCAATACAACATAATATGCTTTTTACTTGTTCATGCAAAATTAAAGGACAGTCGCACAGATTTGTGCCACATGTGCTTAGTTCAGGGCTGGAAGGAGTGTTGTCTGTTGACTACCTACAAAGTGTTAGTTACTATGCAGGATTGTAACACCCAGTCTTAATTTCCTTCTGAGAGGTTACATTCTGAGGCAGGAGGACACATGTAGCATGTGATACTGACTTCCACTTTCAGTGATGAATGATGAAGGTCACCTACTTATAGTGAAGGTGAACAAATTATTTTTCAATTCTCAGTGTAACTGCTTTTCATACTAGCACTCCCATATGCACCTGACCCGTTAAAAACCAGTAGCTCAAAACACCCACCGTATCTGTTAATAGGTGGGTTAAGCGTTAACTCCCCGGTGGTAATGTGAACACCTGCACCAAGTTGTTCACACTGATTCTAATAATGCTAACTCCTGAATTAGCCTGCCCCTTGGGAGATTAATTTATAGAACTCTGTCTCTGTTAATGTAGGGTGACTCTTATACTTATTAATTGGACTTAAGCTCATCAAGAAAGCCTTACATTTTGATAGAACGGTGTTTTGGTGGTTTTCTGAGACTGCCAAATTCTAATAGGAAGGCGTGCCTCTAGTTGCCAGTTAAGCAGTATAATTATGCCTTCTCTCAGGACTACTGATAGTATAGTGGCAGTTCATATATTATCATCCAAAGTTTGCTTTTAAAAAAGGTGTGGTTTGATAACGTGTTGGATTCACTGGTATAGTTTCTGAAAAAGTTCGTTGCCATTATATGAACCCATTATTTGAACAATAATTTGCCAACTGGTCTACTTCTGTCATTTCAAGTTCTTGGTTTCCTGCACTTGCAGATTAATGTTTTTGAAAGATTTTCCTCTACATAGGAACCTTCAGTACCTATCTCATGCCTTTATTTATTTTTATGTATTTATTTATTTATGGTAACCCTCACCCAAGGATATTTTTTCCTTTTTTTTTTTTTTTTTTTTTTTT